CCTGTGGTTGTAATGCAACCATTAGCTGAATGTACTATTAATAAAATCCTGGGTTGCAAGTACTCACCTTAATATTTGAAAAAAAAATGAATAAGACTTTGAATAATCAGCCAGAAAAGTAGATTGTTTATATAATTATTGTAAAGAAAATTAAAATTAAGAAAAATAGAACTTTTCCAAAGAAGATGGACAAAACCATCAAGGAAAACAACTCTAGTCTTAAGAAGAATGCATGAGGAGTAGGCAATGAAGTCCATAATAGAAAACTTTCAAAAAAAGACAAATTAAAAAATACAATAAAATAAGAACAATACAGAAAGTAACAAATTGGAACAATAGAATAATTGATAGAAAAAGTATAAAAAGGTTTATAAGAAAACCAATTGTATAGATAAAACTCATAATGAATTTAAGAAAAAACAAGGCAGAAAAGTTACACTTTAAGTAAAAAAATAATGTGAAACTTAATAATAGTATATATGATACTTGTAATACTAGATAGAAAACATTAGATAATACAAAATGCAAGCAGTAAACCACCTTAGAACAGATATTTTATATACAACTACATTTGGAATACAAATTCATTTGTAGAATTTGAAATTATCTAAAAAATGAAAAATAATGTTAAAAGAATCATTAATAAACTTTCTATCAAAGCAAAAATTTCATCAAAAAAACAAATAAAAAATATATTAAAAGAAGAGATAGAATGTATTAAATTCTTATAACAAGAAGAAATTATTTATAAAAGTCAAAAATGTTGACAATATAAAAATAAGATGAAACAAAAAAATAAAAAATAGAATTGTAAGTGACATGATTGTAGAATATCACAATCTGTACTTACATTTTTATTCTTTGAAAACTACAAGATTCCTATTAATGAAGTATTTAGAATATAATATTTATGTCTAATTAAAGTCCAACAACACCCATTCACATAATGACTGGACATTGAATACAAACAATAGCCAATAATATAAACAATATTAGACAACTTATTGAGTTATAAATAAATAACACATATGATAAGATAGGCTGAAAAGATATTATTATAAAAATAAATGAATTACTATTCAGATGTGTTAAGTATTACTGTGGAAAACCTGTAGATTATTAATGGGTTATTAGGGGGTGTAGAATGTATACTGAAACACAAAAAATTTATAAAAATAATTGATAAGCTTGATGAGATAACATTGCTAATACCATTAAAGCAAATATATATAAAGAATTGATAATATATACAGATTTATAAAAGAATTATAAAAATTTATCTGTTAAGTACAGATACCAACATGAAACTGTGAATTATTCAAAATATTTCAAAGATTCTGAAATAGATATATATACAAATACTATTAAAAAAAATTGGCTTAGCATAAAATTATTAATACCAAGTAGAAATAAAGCTAAAAATAAGCTCAAACTATATCTATCAGAATATATATGAAGGTAACAAAACATAAACAACTTGTGCAAAGATTTTCTACAATGCCTAAAGAGTTATCTATTAATAGAAGCAGAAGATAAACCTTTAGAGAAAAATGATAAAACCAAACAATTAGAAAATATAAATAAACCCTAAATTATAAAAGAATTCAAAATAATCTTATTTAACATCTCTAGAACCAACCAAAGAAACTAATAACAACACAAAAATAGAAATTATTCTAACAGAAACAACCAATAATTTTTCAAGAAAAAATAATCAAAATTGGTCAAAGAAAGTGAAAAAAATGTATACCCTAACACTATTAGTATAAGATATCTAAAATATTAAACAAAAACTTGGTGTAAAGTTTAACCACAATCCAAAAACTTACCATGACTTAGTAGAAACAATATTAAATTTGGCTTATCTAAAAAAGTACAAGAATTCTCAAGAAAGAATAGCAGAAATCTCAGAAAAACTCTAGATGAATCCAAATTCTAACAAAATTTGGTGAATCAATTAGTAAAGCTATTGACCTTACAGAAACAGAACAACTATATCAACCTAATATTAAATTATCTGAATAGAATAAAGAAAGTGTATCTCAAAGAACTTCAAATAATAATAAAAGAACTATGGATATTATAACAATGCTAGTACTAGGAAATAGTTACACAAATAGTTCTTTAACTAAATTTCTGCAAATATCAAATAGAATCACACATAAATTTTGAACAACTACTTTAGAAAAAACAGAAAGTGTATAGTATAAAATATGCTCTAAAACAGAACTGTTCAAATGCAATATGTAATAAGTGCTAAGACACAGGACATATATATCAAAACTGTCCAAACATTCTATTATTAAATAAAGAAGATAATGAAAATCCTACTTCAATATTTCACTGTTAATATTGTCATAAGAAAGAACATAAGTGATATTAATATAAAGAATTATCATTAAATAAAGCTAATAAGCATAATAGTTGTAGATGCAACTCAAAATAAATAACCACTATTAGAATAAATTACTTAATTAACTCTGATTTTTTAACAGCAAAATCAAAAAAAGAATCATTATTGTAATTGTAAATTACTATTTATAAGAAATAATTTAATAGTAAAAAGAAAAAGTAGGATTCGATTGAAATGTGAAGAATGTGTATATAAATATATCAGATACTTTCAACAAGATAAATGCTGAAAAGTACAAATAATAGAATGGTTAGAACATAAAAGAAAATAATTGAATATTACCTTTGCAAGAAAAAAGAAACAAAAAGAGTTTTGCAAACTATGAAAATATATTCTTTTGTACTTGGAAAGGAAAATATGCATATTAAATATATCTTATTATAGCAAATTCTTGCTATAATTATACCCATAAAGGAAGAAAAGAACACTAATTTAATATCAGACAATCAGCAAAAAATTATACAACAATCAATAGGTCAATGACAAAAAGAATTTACAACTATAGTAACAAATTTATAAGAACTAGAACTTCTAAAAGAAAAACTAAAAGTAGATAAATTCTCTCATTCAGAAGTACCTCTTCTTTATAACAAAGAAAATAATAATATTAAAGAAGAAATAGCTTATAATTAAGCTGTAACTGATAGTCTAAATAATCTGAATAATAGGAAAAACAGACCAGAAACATATGACAAATGGTGCAAAGAAACTACCAAAGAGTTAGGATGTACTCTTTGTAAAGAATGTCTTTTACCAATCAATATCAAAGAAAAAAGTAGTTATATAAATGTAACAAATACAATGAAAAAAGCCATCTATCCATACTGTATTGATTGTTATAACAAAATATATCATCTAATACAATACTGTACCAAATATACTCAAAACCTTCTAGAATCAGAAGAAGACCTAGCAAGAGGAATATGTTGAGAATGCTATATTAAAAAAAAACTAAAGAAACACTTTCAAAAAACTACTTTTTTAATGAACTAATAACAACTGAACAAGAAATATTAAATAAAATACTCTATAATTATTCTTTATGATTTCAACAAATAAAAGAAACACTCTCCAAATTAGAAGAAGAAAAGCAATTACTTTGGCAACATGGCAATTGAAAACATCTTATAGAATTAATAAAATATTAAGAATTGAGAAGAATGTTCCAATGGATAGTAAGAGTAATCGATGAATTAGTTGACTTAATAATGAAACTATTAGTCAAGATCAACATTTATATTCATTTGTAGAATATAAAAGAGAAGTACACTTAGTAATTGAAAGAGCTTATCAAAAAATAAAATAATTACAAGAAGCAAGATTTTCAACTGAACAAAAAGCATTTGAAGAAGCAATGCAAAGAAAATGGTTACAAACAAGAAGATTGCCAAGAATTACAGTAACAACTGTAATCGAAAATAATGATAATATAAAAGTAGAAAAAATTTCTTAAGAAGAATTTCAAAGAAAGGTTCCAAAAAGGAACTCTGCACCACTATCATTTTTAAGAATTGAAGATGAATTATTTGGAAGAAAATAACTGTACTACAAAAATAGTACCAATATTATTTAATATTATTTATTAAAATATAATTTAACTACTGTATATATAGTTTATTAAATATTATTAGTATTAAAATAGTTAAATTATTATTTATCAATGTAAACAAAATGTTTAAGACACATAAAAGTGAATTAATAATTAAATATTTATATTATATAGGCTTGTGATTCATAATAAGTTAGCACATGACATATGAGTAATTAGTATTTGATTAATAAATTCTTAAAGGGATAGTATGTAATAGCACTATATAGTAAATGGGGCATAGTAGCACCAAGTCATCCAAAGATGATGCAATGATAAGACACTTAGTATAGGCACATAAATAATAATATTAATAAGACATCTGAAATGGATGCACAAGATTATTATTTAAGAAAGGTATATAAGATTATTAAATATTATTGGAACATGACATATAAAAAACATTAGCATTACACTAACAGAGAGTTAAAATGCAAACAAAAATTAACAAAACATTAAGATGCAATAATTGAATGAATTAGATTTTTATATAGCAGAAAATGTCTATTTAAAGCCAAAGAAATGACTATGAAGTGACATGAATCAATACCAAAAAATAATTAAAATATTACAAAAGAATTATAACAAATTATCTTATTACAAAAAGATAGTAACAAGTTTAGAACTAACATTAGAACTTGAAGAAATTGAACAACATCAATCTTACCAAGAAATACTTCAAATATTAATTGAAGAAGAATCAACTTCACAAGAGTTAATAAAAGCAATTAAAGAAATACAATAAAGTTCAGAAGAAAATTTGAGCAAACCTTAGAATTAGCAAAGAAAATCACACTCAAAAAGCAGAAATATACAAAGAATCTGCAAAAGAAATTAATAAATCAATTGCAAATATTCAGTAAAGAAGAAGCTGACAAACAACTAAAATTTACAGAAATAGTATATAGATACTATAAAGTAACAAGATATTATGAAAATATTGCATTTAGTCTACAATCAATTCTACAAGAAGAAAAAGAAAATCAACAACAGTTGTATTAAGACTTAATTGATAAAATATCTCAAGAATATAATTCAAAAAAAGAAAACAAGATAGTATTAGTAACAAATATAAAAAATAGTTCTGAAAATAAAAAAAACCAAATAATAGAACTAGTAAAATATCTTTTTTATTAAGCATCAAAAGAAGAAAATAAAAAAAATTAACAAACTCTTTGGAAGAAATTAATGAACTTTATCAAGAAAACATTTGAAGAATCAATTAACAAATTAAAAGAGAAAGTCTTAAAACAATTAAAGGAAAGAGAATCCTTTGAAAAAAGTATTACATTTGATAGAAACTACTTAGTAGCTAAAGAATATAACTGAAGAGAGTGGAATATAATATATATTTGAAACTTAATTAACAAAAGAAGATCAATTAATACTATAACTAAAAAAAACTGATATAACTATTATACTGAGCTATAAAACTCAAGTGGACTATAGAATATCAAGATATCACAGATCAGATAGCAAAACAAGTCTCAGAAGCAAAGACATATCACAATTGGCTAAAACTAATTAAAAAAAAATTAATTAATAATTATAATTATATTCTAACAAAATATAAGAGCAGAAGAATATATTATTATGAACTAATAAGTCTTATACCAACATTAGTAGAAATATACAATTCAGAAGAAATGAATAAACAGAACTTGTAAATACTGTTTAATAGAACAAAGAAACTATATTAGAAGTGAAGAACTTAGATTCTGTGATAACTGTATAATTACAGAAAGATTTTGCAAAATAGAACCAGAAGAAAGACATCCAAGAAAAGAAGAAAAACTTCTAAAAAAAAGATCAAAATTACTACAAGAAAACTGTATAATTTGTGGAAAATTATAAACAGTAAATCAAGTAGTAAAACTTGTAAAAGTTGCAAAATAACAATTAACAGAAAAGAAATTAAAAGAAATCAGAAATTTCTTGAATTAATAAAATTTTAATAAGAAACAATCCAAAATTGTGAATATTGTCTAGCAAGACATAAAGAGTATATAAGAAAAACAGAAAACCAAATCTTTAACTTTGGCACAATTGCATTATAAATGTTGCAATAATTGCTCAAAAAGACATTAAAAGTGTTTAAGAGAAAACTCAGAACAAACTTGTAGAAACTGTACTTGAAGAAATGAAAAGTGTAAATATACTATTAGAAAACACAAAAGTTGTAATAATTGTTCAAAAAAACATTTAAAGTGTCAAAGAAATAAATCAGAACAAATCTGTAGAAATTGCAAGCAGAAAAATAAAAACTACAAAACTATAGAAGAATACAAAAATCAAAAGAAATCAAAGAAAAAAAGAATCTTTAAAAATTGTAAATTGTGCAGAAAACTACAATTTCTAAATTAAGCAAAAATCTGTAAAAGATGTAGACAAAAAGCTCAAGAAGAAGAATTCTTAAAAGAAATCTTAAACCTTGAATAATAAAAAAAAGCTGTCAAACTTGTATAACATTCAAAAAAAAGTGTGAAGAGATACTATACTACAAAAAGTATATAAACTATGCAAGAAATGGAATAATCTGTATATCAGTAGAAAAACAAGGCCACACATCTTTAAGAAAAAGCTGTAATAATTGTCATATCAGAAAAAAGAAGTGTCAAAAATCACTTACAGACAAATATTGTAACTATTGTAAAAAGAAAGGAAAAGATTGCACTTACAATATCAAACAAAGAATAGACAATATTATTATAAAAGGTTTGAAATTAATAGTAGTATACTGGAATAACTATTAGAAATCAAACAAGCAATTAAAGATTATCAATCTTAAATAATTATAAAAAAAAGCTTTAAAGAAAAGCTAAACCAATATCTGACAGATTTACTAGTATGAACATTAAAAGGACTAGTTTGTAACCTCTTCTATATAACATTAGAAAGAGAATTAAAAGAACTAACAAAAGTAGTTCAAGAAATAGATAAACAAACAGAACCAAGTAAATTGGTATCAGAAATAACATCCAAGATAGATGAAAATACCAATTGAGTTTCAAGAAATAATTAGAACAATACAAGCAATAGTTGAACTCCAAACAACAGTAAAAGAAATAGGGCAATACAAATACTTCTTAACACAAACAGTATTAAAAATAGATAATATAAGACTACACATCAGATTTGAAAGAATAACAATATTAGACAACTTGAATAGTTCAATAATAGAACAAGAAGAACATCTAAAAAAAATTATTGAAACTTATAAAAACATTGAAGAACAACAGAAAAATAAATTGAAACTATTGTTAGAAGAGTTATATCTAATAATAAGAGAAGAATTAACCTTTGACAGTCTAACAAAAGAACTAGCTAAAGTTTTAACAAAAATAAAGAAAACAATTTAGCAAATAGATCAAGTAAGAGTATGTTTACTAAAAGAAAACTTACTAGTAACATTATCAAATAATACTCAAGATGAGTTAAAAAAAATCTAGAGTATCTAACTTAACTATTAAGATATAAGAAGAAGAACAAAGACAAATAGAAAAAAAAAGGGTAGAAACATGGATTAAAGAAAAGAAAGAATTTAAATAATTTGAAGATATTGCAAAAAAAATGAATATAAATAGTATCATCAATAAAATAATATATTAAGAATTATAACAAACAATAGAGAAAAGCTTAAAAAGTATTAAAGCTACAATAATAATAGTAACAGGAGCAATAGCAGTCAGAAATACAACTGCATTATTAAAAATTAAAGACTTCTTTGAAAAACAAAGAATCCAAGTATTTCAATTCAAAGCAATATTAGAAAAATCATCAAAATTACTAAAAACTAATGTATTTAGCAAAACAAAACATATTTGTATTATAAATATTCATACTACAAGAATTTCAAAAGAATTTAATACTATTAAAGATATTGGAATTAGAAGGAAAAATCAATAAAAGAACAATAATACTCTTTGACAAAGCAATACCAAATACATTAATATTTAAAATAAATAATATTCAAAATAAGCAACAAATAAAAATACCAAAAAAAATAAGAAAGAGGATATTGAGTCCTATAGCTTAGCGGTTAAGCTCTCATACCCTCCACAGTCAAGGTCAATGGTTCAAGCCAGCTGAAGGCAAAATTGAAAGATTTTAGCTTCTGTAACCTAATAAGGAGCCTGTAATTAAATACAAAGCCCTGTGGTTAAGTCCAAGTACAGTATAATGATGAAAATAGGAATTCTCGGAAGGAGACCCAATTGTGAAGTGCAGGTACTATGTGTAACAACTGGTTGTTACAGAAGGTTACAGTTATGGAAAAATTGCACATATAAGTCCTTTAGGCTAGGGCAACACCAACATCCTTATACTGTTACAAAGTAGATTTTTAGCATAGCATAGTATATTATATTATTAGTAGTTATTATATATTCATTATTGTATTTTA